TATATATATGTTACCAGGATGTTCTACGTCCAGTTGGATTTTGCAGTATGCAAGCCAGCATGCTGTTCTGGCTATTCTGACCCACAATCCTCTGCTCAACAAAAGATACCTCACATCAACTGTCAGAAGTCGCAATGATGGATGACAGCCCATTCAGGTGACTGATGACCAGTCGATTAGTAATAACAGTAATATTAACTGTTTAATTAAACAAAATAATCATAAATATATCCAACAACAAAAGGGCATATGTATTAAATGACAATGACAGAGAAATGTATAGCCCATGTAATGTTACTATCGAGTTCAGGGCATAGCGTTATGAAGCATGCCCCAATTGTGTGCATACTCCATGCCAGGACAGCTGCGGTACCTACTAAAAGTAAAAAGAAACAGTATGCAATTTGGAAGACACCCCAGGCTTTTTTTGGCTTTGGCAACTTTCATTGGAATAAACTGGACCCCAACCCTGACACTGTATCCAGTTCTCTTTATACATCCTTGGGACTGACGCCATACCCTGGAGTACACTTTTATCACTGCAGCAAGTTAAGAAGTCAAACTAGTGGAGGTCTGCAGAACCAAGATATTTAACTGCTGTTAAGTTGCTCTCTAAAGGCAACAAGATATATAGGCTATATAAGCAAATGCAGAGAGTGGGAGGAAATCAACAGCCAGATCTGTCCAATGAATTTAAAACTGTCAAAACAGTACCACGTTTACTCAAAGGAAGCTGACAGATGCGCCATGCCAAGAATTCCCTTTTAAAATATCCAAATTTAAAGCTTTCTTGAATATCAGCAGAGATACATTTTTGATACAACACTATTAAAGGCCGTTTACTGGTCGTTGGGTTGTTTAGGTGCATTCGGCATACAAATTGTCCACAAAAATAACATACTTTAAGGGAAATTTTAGGGTTTATATGCGATTACACCGTTTACTCCCACCTCAGGCGATGTATTTTGAAAGGACGTGCTGTCTTGAGCCCAAGGGAAACTAATGACAAAAAACTAATAATTAATTCATAGAGATTCTTCTTGGTGTATCACGTGGATGCCGAATTTTTTTGTGAACCCAACTGATTTGTGAGCGGAGGTAGGTTTGATTCTACTGGTTATGCGAAGTTCTTAATACAAAGGGAATGGTTAGATTTCCAATTATTTGACTGGGATTCGGTGTCAAGTTTTATCAAATACATAATATTTGGCAGCAATTGGAACAGGTATACATGAATAACATAATTACTATACATCAAGAGCTCATGTCTCGTCTCTGCTGCGTGTTCCATAAAGCTCACTCCTGTTGGTGTCTTGGAGGGGAGCAGGGAGTCTGCTGATGTCACATGGGTGACTCGATCACAGCCATCAATAATGGATCTCGAGGCTTGACAAACCTTTATCGGCTTACACCGTTGGCCGTGATCATCAGAATACACAGTATGTCGATGTTCATCTTTACCATTGTCATTTAAAACACCATAATCTGATCTGTGAGTGTTGAATAAATCGCGCACAACGGCCCACAGCTATTTTTTATCCATGCAGGATGCAGTAACAGTTTGATGGTAAATCAATCTACATTTTACCGGAGGCTGCTCGCTCTGCTGCACGAATGTCCAGGAAATGATTTGCAGTTTACCTGCACAGCCCGAGTGAAGAAGACTCCTGCACCAGAAGCCAGTTTTTTGACGTTGAAATCCATGGTGCCGTGTTGTGCTGAGCATACAGGCAGGGCTTGTTTGTCTCCCTGCAGAGGGAATTCTCCGGATCAGCTGAGATGATGTAGCAGCAGACGCAGGACTGAAGCTATAATCCGCTTCGTTGACGATCGGAAATCTGCTCTCCGCCCTGCGCTTAAAGAGACCACTGCACCGGGCTGCAAGTCACGACTCCCTCTGTTGTCACCCTGCAGCATGTAGGCTGCTGCACCCCCACCGTGACCTCAGGTTACACGTCCACACAAAGTAAAAACAATTTCAACTCAGTACTCATCGTGTGAAGTAGTTCCAATGAAAACTTTGAGGTTGGTGGATCATCCAGATGCACTTTACTTTCAGTTTATTGATCCCATTCAAAGCAGATATAGACACCCCCCATACATAACCACAGATTAAGTGTTTATTAATTTAATTAATATCAATTTAATATTTTTTTAGGAGGATTTGTACAGATAATGTACTTTTAACAAGTACGAGTGTCATATGAGTAATGGCAATGGGATTCCCTGATGGCAGTGGCCCCCTCAGCAGGATGATGCACCATGACCCACCACAAAAACTGTTCAGCTATATGACAAAGAACTCAAGGTGTCGACCTGGCCACAAAATTCCCCAGATCCCAATCTGAGTATCTGTGGGACATGCCTGTACCTCAGGTACCCCCAAGCCCCCTTGTATCAGACTTGGCTCTGACCTGTCGCGTAGAGATGCACGAGTACACCACTATCTGTATCTGTATCTGTTCAACCAACTAAATTATCAGTATCCATATCTGTACTTGGCCATCGGGGAGTGCTGTTAACATGAGGGCTTTACTTCGTCTGCAATAGTGTATGGGTAGATGGAGTGGGTTAAGTGACATCCACATTGCATTGTAACAAGGTAAATGATATGTCTTACAAATAATGGAAAGGACCCTACAGAGAGAGAAAGCCTTTTCCCCTACCTGTAGCTCATTCTGTTCTGTTTTGTGTACAAGTCTTGCTTAGGGAGAAGTCTTATTTTGAAATCTTGCAGACTTTTTCACATTGTCACAGACAGATACAGTTGCATGCAAAGTTTGGCACCCCTGGTCAAAATTTCCTTTACTGTGAGTAGTCTAGGAAGTAGAAGATGAACTGATCTTGTGGTTTTCAGAGTATAACGTGACGCGCTGTCTCTCTGTGTCTGAAGGCCGACGCAGAAGTTAGCGTCACTACGGTTCCCTTGTCAAAAACCCAATGGGATTTTTCCTCTGTGGCAAATAAAACGTTTATGGAGCTTACTCTATTGTTCAACAAGGAAATCTTTACAAATGAACGCCACTTTTATGATTTTTGAAGCCTATATGGAATCGCCAGAAGTAAAAGCTAACGTTAGGCTATAAACAAACAACAATACGGTTGCATGACCAGCATCATCACCATAACAAAACTAAGTTTGTGTTTGGTTCAGTGTGAGGACGTTCTGTAGTCTCGTATAGCCAGTTATTAGCAACCACCTTTTTTCAGACACGTAGAAGCTTTTAAGTTCACAAGTGGGATATTCACTGACGTATTTTATGTCATAGAAAAAAATTAAGTTTCTTAAGTTTGTGTTAACCACAGACCTTATTACAGGCATCTAACCAAAAACCCATTAACAAAAACAAAAAAAAAACAAAAAAAAAACACTGACCTCGAGATGAAGGAGTCATAATATTCTAACTCATATCTGAGTTGTAGGATTCATTCCCAGGGCTCTCTATGGGTATTGACTCACTTTTGGAGTCAGCTTCAGGTGGCCATTAGAGGAACTGCAGTTTTGGCACTTTATTTGTTAGCTGTGAAGGTTGCAGCTTGCTCTCGTTTTTTTAGCTTAATGTCTGCATTTCATGTTGTTTTGTGTTATATAATTTAATACATTTTTAGTTGTAGTAGCAGTAGTGGTATGATTATCAATAGGTCTCAAATTTTATCCTGCTACCAAAACAATAATGGTATTTTTGGCTTCTCACCTAATGCTTTACCAAGCAAATAAAAGAAGCTGGAACCCAGCAGAGGGGATTTTTTTAATGATGTATTTTATTGAAGGAAAACTGCAAATCATACAGAATTATAACTGAAAGAATACTTCTCCCTCTGTTTTTCTTTCTTTAACAAACATCCTGTCCACCTCCCACTGATCTTCTCCCATCCCTACCTTGAAAGACCATGAAGCTACAGGTTCAACACACAATATTGATTCCATATAAAAAATAAAGCACACCAGAAAAAAGGGGAATAAGTAAATAAAAGAAAGTAAGGGAAAAAGGGGGAGAGGGTCTTTTAAACAAGACTGCGTGGGAGTAAATAGGAATATTGTACAATTACATGATACTCCTCTCCTATTCAGGAAGGAGTGTTAAAATGAACTATCAAGGATTGCTGTCTTTATAGAAACGGTCTTCAGAGCTTCTGAGAGTGAATTTGGTCTTCTCAAGTTTGAGAAAAAATACCAGGGGTCTCATTTATAAACATTACGTATGCACAAATCGAGGCCTGAAAGAGGAGTACACCACTCCCCATGCAAAAGTTGTGATCCATAAAAACAGACTGGAAACAGACGGGAAATTGTCTACGCAGATGGCAAGGTGAAAGCCTGATTGTAGAAATTGTTGAATATTTTTTGGCAGACACCATTTTTTTGTCCGTACGTACATTTTTAGTATGGATCCTGTGCAGTATTTCATAAAGGAAACCCTGGGTCTTTAAGCCAGACAGAGGATGATGGAGGGTTAGGGTACTTCCATTCAAGCAAAACTATGCGACAGGCTAATAGAGAGGCATATGCCACTATATTGGATTGTCCAGCAGTCAGAGTAGTAAGGTCCTGTGGAATCCCAAATGGGGCTATAAAAGTGTAGGGCTGCAAATCCTTTTTTAAAATTTCAGACAAGGTTCCAAAAACGTGGGCCCAGAAGCTCTTTTGTTTGGGACAAAGACAGAGCATGTGAGCAAGGTCTGCAGGGGTGTTACTGCAGCAATCATAGCCCGTCAACACTTAGGTAGATCTCTGCAAGTCTTGCCTTACTAAAGTGGATACGGTGCAAGACCTTGAAATGTAAGAGCCTTTAAAAAGTTCCATTAACATGTTCTCTTTCCCTGTGGAAATGACTCTCTTGTGCTCAGAGAACTGTTTTAATCATAGTGGAGAATTCCAGGCTCACCACTGCCTCACTCATTAGTTATAATGATTTAATAACTTGTAAAGAAAAGAGAAAGAAAAACAAGACAGGATTCCCATGTTTTACCACTCCATCTTTATTGCTTATTCATATCTTTACACTAATGGTCTGGTACTATTCAGAGCAGGAAAAAACTGGAATTCCATCCTGTTTGGATCAAATATTCTTCACTCCATTTTAGATTACACTTATCAGCAGTTACAAAAGAAATCAAGAAGGGTGTCGACAGACTTCAGAAACATACGAAATTAGTAGATGGAATTTGAAACAGTTTGTGACACAGCAGTTCCCCTGAAGCAGTATTTCACTTTAACTTTTTTTTTTTTTTTTTCAGCATATACATCTTCATAAATAACAGTCAACCCCCAACAGTAGCTACCTGCCATCACTGACATCCATGGGTTTTTTCAGCTCCAGGCATTATTTCTTCCTGGAAAGCATACACTGAAACATTCAATGACTTTAAATCAGAGAGAATAGGTGAGAATTAAAGTTGTCCAACTGATCATCTACTTTCTCTAGAGCAAATATCACACCTCTACTATGATATTTAATCAAACACAGCCTCTTAAGAACTAAAAAAATCACAACAGATTTTGTTCTGATCATGTGTGAAAGCATGTTAAGTTCTCTTCATACCCACACGTGTATTCCAAACAGAAACATTAAGAAAGTTTCAAATAAAGCTTTTCATCTCACACCACTGCCTACTTGAACATTAATTTCCACCATGACTGTGAAATAGTGATAGAAATAGAGCTGTACCAATCAGATTCCCATAAATCACACAAAGAAAAACTGTACATGAGAACCAAGAAACCAAGTCACTGGGTAAACCCAGCACAAGTGATATGAAATAGCTTACAAAAACATTAGTTAGGCATCACTCATGAACATAGTCCTTAACTGTATCTATGAATGACACACTGTACAGAGGCTGATACTGGCAACCAGCTCGAGCAAAACACACTGAGGTGCCAGTGTGCTACATACTGTAATAGAATCCACTCTGCAATATGCCTGGCCTTGTTCATCCATACCAAAACATTTCACATTGGGTATGCAATATGAGTGGTGATGCGGTTCCTTCACAGGCATGAATGTTCTGTTTCTGGCAACCCCTGGTTTAGTAGTCTAGTTCATGAAATTCAGTTAAATGAAAGCTTCACGCTCCAACCCACCTGTCAAATCCTATTGTCAGCATTAGCACTATGTTCACAAAGGTGACTTGAGTCTTTAATCCCTTCTCAAACTGATCATTCAAACTGATTCAGGTCATTTATTAAAGTGAAACTAAATTAAAATGGCAACAATATTTGAAGAATCAAATCAAGGTGGAAATATACTGTAGCACAGACCTAAAACACTAATTAAACAATTAAATAGGTGTTCAAATTTTAAAAACAGAAACATAATTCTGCAAAAATAATGGTAATTAAAGGTGGTATAGGCCATTTCATTTGGTGTCACTGGGTAAAAATCTTATACTAAACTTTAAACATATTGTTATTCAAGTTGACAGAAAGAACACTTGACTTCTGTACCTTCTCTTGGCTCTGTTTTCAGAAAATCTAGACTGTGCTGGGAGACTTTGGGAAATAACAGGTCATTTCAGAGAGAGGGTGTTCCTACTGGCAGTTCTACATGCAGATGTGCATGTATGTCTTTTTGGTGAAAGAATAGCCCCTTTTACACTGCCTGTTCAAGGCGGGAATATTGCAGTTATGCTGGCTCGTCGCTCTGTATGAAAGGTACAATTGCGCTATGGGGGACAGAGTTGTCTCACCTTTAGTTAAGCCACCACAGGAGGTAGTGACAGTGCCGGAACAGTGCCTGTGTAAACAGGACAGCCAGCAGGACCAGACCATGGGCAGGACAGGTGTGTCAAAAAAGCAGCTGTTAGCAGTTAGCAGCTAATTGAAAGAAGAACAATATCAGCTGTAAATGTCCGTAAACTGG